CTTATTATATATTATTTTATTCAGGGGAAACAGGGCTTTCATTTAACATCGAATATTTAGGTATGGAACATAATTTTTTTTTTTTCCAATTGACAATTTTTTATTTTGTCTTAGAGCAAAAAGAACATGGGGATACAGAACGAGGAAAGAGGGGGGGGGGGAAGATACATTGCATAATGGCTACACAGACAATAGCTATGTGTAGTTATATACATATCAGTGTACATCACAGTTAGACATTTACATACAAACATGCTTCCCTGAGTTGTGTGGTATCTGGAGCTTCATTGCAAACCCCCTTTTTTTTTTTTAAATATATTCGGAACGGTAGTGTTTGTTGGTAGTGTTTGTTGGCGCTCTGCGTGACGCCTCTCGATTTTGTTTCAGGAGTCGTTGGACTCACTAGGGTGGTCGTGGTTAGGGGGGGTGGTATTTAAGCTCGTGATTTGTTGAACCCACAGATTGTGTGCTTCCTGTACCTCTTTTCGTGTTCCAAATTGTGCGTGGGCCATTTTTTCGTATTCCCAATTTTGGTTTGGTATGGAACATAATTTAATATGAAAAATATAAAAAAAATGAGAGAAAATTAGATTTTTCAAAATTTTCTTAGTTCTACATGACATTTTTAAATGTGAATGTCAACTAGCAATATTTTGCTTTTTACTGCAATAAAATACACATATTTGTATTCAGCAATGTCTCATATGTAAACAATTTACCCCCAATGTACAGGTACATTGTTGGTGTTTTGAAGTTACAGGTCAAATATAGCATGTTACACTTTTCAGTTTTTTTCATTGAAATTCGGTAAGATTAGTTACGCTGCCTTTGAGACTGTATGGTAGTCCAGGAATGAGAATTACCCCCATGATGGCATACCATTACAATAGTAGACAACCCAAGGTATTGCAAATGGGGTATGTCCAGTCTTTTTAGTAGCCACTTGGTCACAAACACTAGCCAAAGTTAACGCTAATATTTGTGTGTGAAAATGCAAAAACTCATTTGAACACCTATTTTGGTTATTGTTTGGTTACGTTGCTTCAAAAGGCAACGTAACTAATCTAACAAATTTCAATTCACAAAAACTGAAACGCATAAAGCTTTTATATTTGACTCTGTAACTTTTAGAAAACACCATAAAACCTGTACATGAGGGGTAAATTGTTATACTCAGGAGACTTTTGAACACAAATATTTGTGTTTCAAAACAGTAAAAGTATTACAGCAATAATTTATTATATATATATATATATATATATATATATATATATATATATATATATATATAATACACAAGATCCAGCGCGACTCACTCACCTATCCACTAAACAGCAACTTCAATGTTGAAAGATTTTTTATTTGTTTTTTTAAAACACCTAATCTAGGCAAAAAATAATGGGGGTTTAGTTACATTATATGATCATACATTGCATAAGCCTGCACACAATCCAATGTACCCCATCTTTGCTTTGGCAGGTCCTACACCAACAGCCTAATGTCTGCTCTTATGAGATTAACCTACAGGAAAAAAAAATTCCATCATCTGGGGCTCTCTCTGCAGGTACAAGGCTAAATAGGGCCTAAGGATGAGGCACCTGTGACAGGGAGGGTGCAAAACCAAGGAGTTGGCTAGACTCCCAAATATATATATATGAAACAAGAGGGGTTGGCTGGCGCCACGAGCATAAATGGGGGTGCTGCTGGGGGCCAAATAATACAATACACAAGATCCAGCGCACTCACCTATCCACTAAACAGCAACTTCAATGTTGAAAGATTTTTTTTTTTTTTTTTTTTTAAAACACCTAATCTAGGCAAAAATAATGGGGGTTTGTTACATTATATGATTGTTGTGGAAATAAGGTCTACACATATTTCCTAGTTAGAGGAAAATGTCTATTTACTCATTTTGCAATATATATATATATATCTCACATATAAAGCTAAGTACACATATTTCAATCAAGATGGCTGCTAGAAGCTTCTAACCCCTCCTTCCCCTCCCCTCCCTTTTTGAACATCGACTAACTACCTCGTGTAACAAGATGGCGCCGGAAAACCGTGGGAGACCCTCATGGTCCTGGTGACATCACCTGCAGTAGGCAGAGCATTAGAGCAACCACTTAACACCTAACCAATTATTGATGTAATATTCCATGTTATCTCTGACAATGCATATGATGTAATTTTGCTTTAAAAGGGACTTGCCGTCCCCTCTGAATAAACTTTCCTCAAGTTATTCAACAACCTAGAACCTGTGTCTGGTGTGAATTACTTCAGGGAGCGTGCACGCATTGTTTCATTGATTTGGCCAGGGGCAGATACACAAAGAAATAATCAATCCTTTTATTGATTTTTCCACTTCAATTGGCGCCCAACGTGGGGCCCACCGGAGAGCCGGTTCGGAGGGCCGGAACCAACGGACCGGAGCGGACCTCCGGAAAGTGGGACAAGCGGAGCCTGATCACCTCCATAATACAGCCGTTGCCTGTGTTATTCTCCTGTTTTGTGCCGGTCTGTCTCCGAGTCCACTTCCGGCTTCCAGAAGGCTACTAGAGACAGGTAACTAACTCATCCGGTGCGCCCTTTTTAAGTGAACCTGTCGATTGTCTATCTGCCTCCTGTATTCATTTATGTGTGTGTGTTTATTATACCTTTAAGACATGTTTGCTTGACTGCCTAGCGGGCAGGGAACGCAGTTTATGTTTGCTTGACTGCCTAGCGGGCAGGGAACGCATTACAGCCGGTTTATTTATGTTTGCTTGACTGCCTAGCGGGCAGGGAACGCATTTTATATGTTTGCTTGACTGCCTAGCGGGCAGGGAACGCATTTTATATGTTTGCTTGACTGCCTAGCGGGCAGGGAACGCATTTTATATGTTTGCTTGACTGCCTAGCGGGCAGGGAACGCATTTTATATGTTTGCTTGACTGCCTAGCGGGCAGGGAACGCATTTTATATGTTTGCTTGACTGCCTAGCGGGCAGGGAACGCAATTTATGTCTGCTTGACTGCCTAGCGGGCAGGGAACGCGGTTTATGTTTGCTTGACTGCCTAGCGGGCAGGGAACGCATTACAGCCGGTGGGGCTGGGTTTTTATGTTAGCTTGACTGCCTAGCGGGCAGGGAACGCATTACAGCCGGTGGGGCTGGGTTTTATATGTTAGCTTGACTGCCTAGCGGGCAGGGAACGCACTGCAGCCGGTGGGGCTGAGATTTTTGTCTGATTATTGTAGTATTTCCGTTGGTACCAGTGTTTTGCCGGGACCAGCCTGGTGGGTGAAGGCTGGAGATCGTTATATTCTGAATATCTGACACCGGTGGTGTTAACATGTACATGGCCATTTTGCTCTCTATCATTCTGTGGTTTCTGTTTAATTGTTGTTACAGTGTGGGTACCCTTGGTGTGTGTGTATTGTGTGGTTAGTTCTGGATTCCGGAGTTTACGCTCATTTGTATGTTTGTGATTTTTGCAAATGTCTTCTCATTAGCGCAGCCACGTTCATTTTCTCCTTTGTTCTTTATCTCTCCTGTGCCTGTTGCCCAGAGCTGTGTTAGTCACCCACGCTCATTCGCTCCCGTCCGTGACCACCACCCCGGTGGGCGGATCTCCGTGACTGGTCTACGTTTGGGGAAGACGCACGGGGCTCAAGTTCTCGTGGCAGTCGAGCACTGTAGACATTCTTTTTCCCTTGTACTTACTATACTTCTTTGTCTTCCACGTGTGGCACGCTTTGGTTACTCAAAAATGGGACAGGAACACGCTAGACCTGCTAAGGGCTTGCTAGCTTGTGACATTGTGAAAGAAAGGGCAGGTGAAGATGCAATGCTAAAACTTAAAAAGATTGCTAAGGTGTGTGGTTTCCAGATGTTGCCCAGCGGGAGATTACAACCTGAGTTTTGGAGGAAGTTACTTATAGACAAGGAAGGGTTGTTGTTGGATAATGGACTTACGAAAGTTGCAGAGGCTTGGTACCGGGTAGCTAGAGGGTTGAAAAGAGAAGGATGGGTCGAGGAAGAACTGGAAGTTGAGGGGCAAATTGTGTATGTTTATCACAGGAGTGTTCACAATGATGATGTTGTTCCTATTGTTTCACGACCACCGCCCTATGATGGCGCCCGGAGCGCAACACTTAATTCCCGCCCTGTTTCCCCCCGTCACGACGCAGACCCCACCTACTGGGGGTGTGTCTTCAGCTCCCACTCCCCTGTGCCCCGTGCTCGGTGCGGATGGTTCCTACTATTACCCAGTGCCACTTCATTCATTCCCTCCTGCTCCCATGTCTCAGCCCTCCTATGATCCAACCCCCTTCGTTAACCATCCTCCTGACATGCCTGTCGAAAACCCTCCGCTTTCATGTCCTTCGCTGCCTCCCCAAGTGACCGTCCCCACTCTGGACCTTACCATGGCTTCCCTCACCTCACCCATTGAAGTCCCACCACCCCCTTCCGCTTCTCTCTCAACCCCGAGTACCCCTTCCTTGATAGCCTCCGTTCCTTCACCCTCTCCGTCCATCACACATCCAACTCCCTTACCCCGTGCCCCTCCCATCAGCCCTATTCCTCCGAACCTCTGTCTCCCTGCTGACCCAGGATCCCTCCCTCCCGCGGCTGATTTGCCGTCCCTAATCTCTGCCCTCACCGCCCTAACCCAGCCCCCTGTTACCACCTCTCCTCCAGTGTTACCTCCTCCTCCCGAAGTCCCGGCCCCCTCTACCTCGTTATCCCTCCCTCCCGCGGCCGATTTGCCGTCCCTAATCTCTGCCCTCACCCCCCTAACCCAGCCCCCTGTTACCACCTCTCCTCCAGTGTTACCTCCTCCTCCCGAAGTCCCGGCCCCCTCTACCTCGTTATCCCTCCCTCCCGCGGCCGATTTGCCGTCCCTAATCTCTGCCCTCACCGCCCTAACCCAGCCCCCTGTTACCACCTCTCCTCCAGTGTTACCTCCTCCTCCCGAAGTCCCGGCCTCCTCTACCTCGTTATCCCTCCCGCGGCCGATTTGCCGACCACACCCTCCGCCTACGTTGTTTTGCCACAGCCCCTTGTTCCTCTCCCTCCAACCCCTTCCTCGGCGACCCTTGACGCACCTCCGTCCAATGACCTATCAACTTCAATCTCCGCCCTTTTCACTGCGGTCACTTCCCTGGTTAATTCCGCAATCCCCGCGTCGCCTCCCATCGATGTACCTCCTCCTCCTCCTCCTCCCGAGCCTTTGACTCCTCCCTTGTCTCACGTTAATTTCCTCGAGTCTTCCGATCCAATCTCTGCCCTTGCCCATGTCCTGAATACCCACCTCTCACGGCCAGCCCCGCCGTTCCCCATGGTGGCTCCTTCCACGGCTTTAGTTCCCCGTGCCCCTTCCGCCAACACCAGCTACCCAATCATGGTGGTTGGGTCCGAGGTGTCTGCGACCTCGGACCAGCCCTATGCGATGGGTGCCTCCCCCCAAGCCTCGGGTTTCCACCCAATTACCTCTCCTATCACCCCCTTCCCAGTTGCCCCCGCTACAGCTACCCCTGAGGTTATTCTTCACCGTGGTTCAATAGTGCCCGAGGAGGTCGTTGTGGTGGACCAGAGCCAGCCCCAACTGGGGGGGGAAAGGCTTCCCCAACGGCACTCGCTTCCCCAGGGGTATACTCAGATCAACCATGGGGCGGATGGTGCACCACCTATGTACGTTACTTTTAACCCTTCCCAAGCCGCTACCCTTGTAACTTCACTCCCTGATCCTGAGAAGCACCCCATGCCCTTTTTCCGCAGGGTGGCTCAAATCCGTAAGACTTATTCCGCTGCATGGCGGGACCTTATTAGTTTATGTGAAATTAAGGCCGGAGATGCATACTGGCCAATCATGGAACGGAGCTTTAGTGATGCTCCACTTACTTCTGATACTGATTTCCATTCTGGTGAAATTTTCTGTGAACAACTTCGTGCCTGGGTGCAGGATAAACTAGCTGACCAGGCTACTTGCATTAATGATATAATCCAAGACAAACTTGAGACCGTTGAAAAGTACCATTCTAGGTTGACTCAGACATTCTCGGACTTAGGGTTCAGTACTTACAACAAGGCACACACCCAGATGCTCTCTGCAGCTTTCGTGGCAGGACTGAGAGAACACATTCGCAAGGGGTTAATTTTAGCTCGCCCTGAGTATAGAATTATTCCACTAGACACTCTTTTGTTAGTAGCCAAGGGCCTAGAATCTGTTTTACAACCCACACAGCGCAGGGCTAGCCCACTGATGTACACCGCCCCCACACCTATCGCTAGTTCTAATCAGGTCCCCCAGGTATTCCCCCAACAGTACACTCAATCACCCCACGCACTGCCTGCGCCAATCCCTTTCCCCCGGGAACGGACCATTATGACAATCCGGACCTGTTTTAATTGCAATCAACCAGGCCACTTCAGAAGAGATTGCCCACAGCCTAGGGTGTTCCGCCAGCCTAGTCCCCGGTACCAAGGTCCCCATGTCACCGGCCATAACTACCCTTCCCCTGGTTACCTCCCCGCCCTTCCCCATCCACATTTGCCTCAGCTTCCTCCTCCTCCTCCTCCTCCCCCTCCTCCTCCTGAATACACTCAAGCACGGCCCCCTGTATCAGAAGCTCGCACGTATACTCCACACTCTGCAGAAGGGTTTGATAATGATGATTTCCAAGACGGCCAACCCCGTCCTACCCTCCGCCCATCCCGCCCTCCCATGCATTCTGCTAACCCCCCTTCTACTTCCCGCCGGTACCAGGGACCAGACCAGGCCCATTTAGATTTATTACAATAGGTGACCGGCAAGCCTGTGTCAGCAACCCCTGCCATGGCAGTGTCTGCGGGGGATGGAGGGGGACCTCTAGCTACTGTTGTTCTCCCTGTGGAGGGCCACCCCACCACTTTCCTGGTTGACACAGGTGCAGCCCGTAGTGTCCTTAGGGAACAAGACCTGCCTGACCCCTCTTTCTTATCTGACACTGATGTTTCCTGTGTTGGGGTGGATGGTACCCCACGCAGCAACCCCCTTACTAAGCTCCTACATGTAGGTTCACACATCCTCTCGCGCTTTGTGGTTTCCTCTACTTGCCCCATTAACCTCCTAGGTGCCGATGTTCTCTCTCGCCTCCAGGCCTCCATTACCTTCACTGCAGATGGGCAGATTGAGTTGACAACTCCCTTATCACAAAAAGATACCTCTGTCCTCTGTTCACTCCCTATTTTGTTAAACCTAACTGACAACTCAGGGGATGCACGGGTCCCACAAACCCCCAGTGCTCTGGACCGTATCCCACATGATCTTGATGATATTGGACGTTTGCATGTGCCCCCGGTCTTGGTTCAGCTCCTGCCCGGGGCACAGCCTCCTCGCAGACCACAATACCCTCTAAAGCCTGCACAAGCTGAAGCCATTACCAGACAAGTTGAAAGTCTCCTTACCAAAGGTGCCCTCATCAAGTGTTCGTCTCCTTGCAATACTCCACTTTTTCCTGTTAAAAAGAGAACTGTTAAAGGTCAACCTGACCAATATCGTATGGTACAAGATCTCCGTGCTGTGAATGATGTGACCATCAAAGACACTGCCATTGTTCCTAACCCCCACACCCTCTTATCCCAAGTTCCATCAACTTCAACAATATTCACTGTGGTGGATCTAGCTAATGCCTTCTTCAGTGTCCCCCTTGACCCTTCATGTCGTTTCCTCTTTGCCTTCACCCATGAAGGACAGCAATACACCTGGACTGTCATGCCTCAGGGGGCTCAGAATTCCCCTACACAATTTGCACACGCCATGTCACTGGTGTTGGAACCCTGGCAACAATCTCATTTGGATGTCGTCCTGCTTCAATATGTTGATGATCTCCTTCTCTGTGCTCCTGATTTTCTCACTGCGGAGCGTGATTCAGAAGACCTCCTATGTTTTCTTGCTGCTGCTGGTTGCAAAGCCTCCAAATCCAAGTTACAATGGTGCCGGCCCTCTGTGGTCTTCTTGGGACACTGCCTTTCCCATGGCACCAAACATCTCACCTCCCAACGTGTACAAGCCATTCTGCTTCTTCCATTACCTGCTAACCACCAGGCTCTCCATGCTTTCCTGGGTCTAATCACGTACTGCAGGTCCTGGATACCTGAAGCATCAAAACTCATGCAGCCACTCTATGATGCCCTCAGGAGCGAACCTTTCCATCTCACAGAAGAATCTATCATCTGTTTCCGTACTCTGAAAAGAGCTATTGCTTCTGCACCTGCCTTGGGCCTACCAAACTACCAACTTCCCTTCAACCTTTTTGTCTCTGAAAAATCAGGACATGCTTCCGGAGTCCTCACCCAAAAACATGGCTCAAGACAACGCCCTATTGGCTATTTTTCCTGCATGCTTGACCCTGTTGCAAGGGGTAGCCCCTCTTGCCTCCGAGCGGTGTTCGCCGCCAGTGCTCTCCTGGACAAGACCAATGACTTTGTTCTTGGCCATCACCTCACAGTGTTGGCCCCTCACGATATTACTGCAATCTTACAGCAAATCCGCCCAAAACACCTTTCTTCACAACGCCACCTTCGCCTACAGACATCCTTACTCCTACCTGACAATGTGATACTCCAGAGATGCCTTTCCCTGAACCCAGCCACTCTTCTGCCACTTCCCAAGGGGGGAATAGTGCATCACTGGTACAGCCTGGACATCAACCCAGAGGTCCGAGCAGATTTACAATTGCCTGTGTTTGCACCTTCCCCTGATGATGAACAATCAGAGGCCCTACTCCACTGTGTCTTGTGGTTTAGGGACATACCAAACCCTGACGTGGACTATGAGGAAGAACTATTTCAGCTCAAAGACATCCAAATTACCTTGACTGACTTGTTTTGGGACTCCACAGGTACCATGCTCATTCTGGTACATCTTCCAGACAATGCAGTACACCTCTACCACCATTGGGAAACAGCTATCCCACACATACCTCTCACCAGATCCCACGACATCACATGGGAGACCCTAGGCCCGAAGGCCAAAACTTGGAACCAAATGACTCCAGAACAACTGAATTCTGCAGGAATAAATAAAAAGGCAATTAACTACTGCACAACAGGACACTCCAGGTACCACATAGAGGCCTGTGAGGACCCACCCACCATAGACTGCGACCTTATTGATATCCCTCACGACTGTTTTGAACAAATGAAAATGGAAACTACACACCTACCAACTGTTTATGAAGCTGCATTACTCAACCCGGATCAGACACTATTTGTGGATGGCTCAAGGTTTGCTGACGAACAAGGACAATACCACACTGGATATGCAGTTACCACAGGATGTCAAATATTACAAGCAGCTGCCCTACAACCAACTAAATCTGCCCAAGAGGCCGAGTTAACAGCCTTGACTGTGGCCTGCAAACTGTCCGAAGGCCTACGTGTCAACATTTATACGGACTCAAGATATGCCCTGGGAGTGGCACACGATTTTGGCTTAATCTGGAAGACCAGAGGATTCCTTACAGCTACCGGTACCCCAGTAAAGCATGGGGCAGCCATTGCAGAACTGATGGACGCATTGGAACTCCCAGCAGAAGTGGCAGTATTGAAAGTAAAAGCTCATGGAAGATTAGACACAGAAGAAGCACGTGGCAATAACCTGGCTGATCAGGCAGCCAAAGAGGCAGCACGACAAGGATGGGAAGTGGACAGAAGAGTGGCCACAGATGCATTACCAATTTATACTATGCAAACATTGCCTACAGACCTCAGGCTGCTGAAGGAACAGCAAGCTGCTGCCACTCCTCAGGAGAAACAGAGTTGGAAGAACAAAGGAGCAATACTCCGTGATGAAGTTTACACTATTAATCTCAAGTTCTGTCTACCTAGAAGTATGTACCCAGCGGTGGTCCAATGGGCCCATGGGCCAGCCCACCTATCAAAGCTCCTGATGAATTCACTGATTGACAAGTATTTTGAAGCACCAGGCATCACTACCTTAACACAGAATTATTGCAAATCTTGTACTATATGTGCTAGGTGCAACCCTGGAAAGATCATAAAGACTGCACCTAATCATCTAGCCAAGCCACAATACCCCTTTCAGAGGATTCAGATTGACCATATTCAGATGCCAAAGAGCGGACGCCATGAATATGCACTGGTCATAGTGGACATGTTTTCAGGATGGCCAGAGGCCTTCCCAGTGACTAACCTCACCGCGAGGACAACAGCCAAGTATCTCTTGACAGAAATTGTTTGCCGTTACGGGGTCCCAGAAGTAATTGAGAGTGACCAAGGAACCTCCTTCACTGCCTCGCTTACACGGGAAGTCTGGTCAGCACTGGGGGTGACCCTTGCATTCCACACACCATATCACCCACAGAGTAGTGGTAAGGTAGAGCGCATGAACGGCACTCTGAAAGCCAGAATGCTTAAAATGTCACAAGAAACTAACATGCCTTGGCCCGAGAGTCTCCCATTAGCATTGTTTAGTGTAAGGTACACTCCTAGGGGAAAATACAGCCTGTCACCTTATGAAATTTTGTTTGGCACAGCACCTAGGTTAGGTTGTTACTTTCCCCAACAACTTCAGATCCAGTCAGATGCTATGGTAGATTATGTGACAGCCCTCTCACATGCCTTGACCAAGATACATGCCCAAGTGTTTTCTTCTATTCCAGATCCTGAGTCGAACACAGGTACACACAAGCTGCTTCCAGGTGACTGGGTTATGGTTAAGAAGTTTCTCAGAAAACACACCCTAGAACCGAGATTTGATGGTCCTTACCAAGTGCTCCTGATTACAGCAACGTCAGTTAAACTAGCTGGGAAGAGTTCTTGGATACACGCTTCACATTGCAAAAAAGTGCCTGCTCCAGAAGAGATTGATCCTGTTGAAAAATGAATTTATTATGTGTCTTGTGTTTTCTTATGCTGCTACATTTTGCATGGGCCCAACAAGTGGCCATAACCAAAGATAACCATGTTTACACTTTTTGGTACAATTCTTCTAATACTGATGTGGCTACATACACTTTTGACTATTGTGACATAGTTACTTGTACATTTCCACAAACACAACATGCAGCTGTATATAAGGACATACCTAACAAAAAGGATCCATACATTTGTGTGACTGGCGGAGGTTGGGGACACCATTGTAGTTCATGGAAAGCTGCCGGGTGGAACACAGGTAGACCATGGGGCTACAGACCTCAAGTTGCATTAGACAAGCTTGACAAAGACGGGAAACCCTTGCTCTCTAGAATGACCCTGAGTAAACCCATAGGGTCAACTCCCATTAAACTCACCTTAAACATAGAACACCCTAGTCTAAGGGATGCAGGGGAGTATGTGATGGGAATGTACTGGAAGGGAGGTGGCTCACATAACGCATTAGGGACCTTTTACTTGCAAGATATGCTAAATTCCTCTGATTGGGTGGGAACCACACATATGGTCATTAACCCATTGAAACCACACATCAAAACCCTACATGACATGGTAGCCATAGCCAACCCCACCTTTGAAGATACCATGGCAGTAGAGACAGGGTTTTCAGATACCAATTTATGGCTAGAATGGATGAGGTACAACGCCAACTCACACAATAAGACTAATTGTTATGTATGCGGAGGTGCCAGACCCCATCTGGGTACAGTACCTCTGAGTTTACCTCCGGAAATAGAATTATGTGTACTGAGTTTGTATGCACAATCCACCACTAACTCCTCAACATGTGAATCCTGGAAGAAGATTTACCCAATCACTCATGGACATGTGAAACCACCCGATGGAGTCACCATCTACCCAGGTAATTACACATGCTATTCAATACCAAAAAACACTGGTTTGTATCTGGGCAAATTCCCATCAGGATACTGCTCAACTTACCATAGTCCACCTGTACCACTGCTAATGAATCACACAAAGACAATCGGTGATATCTATTGGTTATGTGGTGACAAACAATTAAGGCCCCAATTAGCTGGGCAATGGTGGGGGGAGTGTGCCCTAACCAAAGTCATAATGCCTATCCACATCATTCCAGATGGTGACCATAACACGCTAAACCTCACACATATACACTCTAGAACCAAACGAGAGACCCCTATTCGAGGGAGTTTCGACCCCCATGTGTATATTGATGCCATAGGTGTGCCAAGGGGGGTGCCTAACGAATTTAAAGCAAGAGATGAAGTGGCTGCAGGGTTTGAGTCCCTAATCCCAATGATAACTGCTAACAAGAATGTCAATTGGATTAACTATATCTATTATAATCAGCAACGCTTTGTCAACTACACAAGGGATGCCCTACAGGGCCTGGCAGAGCAACTACAAGCCACTACCCAAATGACATTTCAGAACAGAATGGCCCTAGATATGATTCTAGCCGAAAAAGGGGGAGTATGTAAAATCCTCCCTGAGACCATGACATGCTGCACATACATTCCAGACAACACTGGGCCCAATGGTAAAGTGACTATGGCCATAGAAAAGCTAGATAGTCTTGCAGACGAATTAAAGAAGAATTCGGGAGTCACTGACATATGGGACAAATGGTTTGGGTGGATGAATGGCTGGCAAAAGACCCTCTTTCAGGTAGGGACAGCTGTTCTCATGGTATTCATTATCTTTTTGTTCTTAGCCTGTTGTATACTCCCCTGTATACAGAAATATCTGCAGAAAGCGGTGGATAAGACTGTAGATAATGTGACCCCTACCTTCATACATCAAGATATCACAGACCTTGAAGATGACACCCCACATACACCCCTACACACACATCAGCTTAAACAGACAACTGCTTTTTTGTAGGGATAGAGTAGGGAAAGCGTCTGTCTTGACAGGTGAGTCTCACGTGTGGAGATGTAGTGGGCTAGCCACTGCGGGATACCCGCGGAGTGAAGTGTTCGATGCTTGTCAAGACAGATAGGTTGCGGGCAACTAGGGACATATTAGGGACAGCAGCAGTTGTAATGGTAAATAGCCATTTTAGGGGGGACTGTTGTGGAAATAAGGTCTACACATATTTCCTAGTTAGAGGAAAATGTCTATTTACTCATTTTGCAATATATATATATATATCTCACATATAAAGCTAAGTACACATATTTCAATCAAGATGGCTGCTAGAAGCTTCTAACCCCTCCTTCCCCTCCCCTCCCTTTTTGAACATCGACTAACTACCTCGTGTAACAAGATGGCGCCGGAAAACCGTGGGAGACCCTCATGGTCCTGGTGACATCACCTGCAGTAGGCAGAGCATTAGAGCAACCACTTAACACCTAACCAATTATTGATGTAATATTCCATGTTATCTCTGACAATGCATATGATGTAATTTTGCTTTAAAAGGGACTTGCCGTCCCCTCTGAATAAACTTTCCTCAAGTTATTCAACAACCTAGAACCTGTGTCTGGTGTGAATTACTTCAGGGAGCGTGCACGCATTGTTTCATTGATTTGGCCAGGGGCAGATACACAAAGAAATAATCAATCCTTTTATTGATTTTTCCACTTCAATGATCATACATTTATGCATGTTCAGGTGAGTGCAGCCAACCCCCTCTTGTTAAAACCCCTTCAGCAGTTTACCTTAATCCAGCGCCGGGCTCCCTCGGCGCTGGTGACCTCTCCTCCCCCACCGACGCCAGCTCCCGAGTGGAGCGGAATGCGCATGCACGGCAAGAGCCATGCGCGCATTCTAACAGTCCATAGGAAAGCATTTCTCAATGCTTTCCTATGGACGTTCTACACACTGGATGCGAAATCAGAAGCGCCTCTAGCGGCTGGATTAACACTGCTATGTAAACATAGCAGTTTCTCTGAAACTGCTATGTTTACATGTGAAGGGTTAAAACCTGAGGGACCTGGCACCCAGACCACTTCATTAAGCTGAAGTGGTCTGGGTGACTATAGTGTCCCTTTAATTAATGAAATGCACCACACAAAAACCGGCATAAAAGAAAGAAATTACAAACAAGGCACAAAATAAATACATAGTGAAAAAGACTTTTATAACTGATAATGCAAACCAGGAAAAATTCCCCAAAAAGGAACAAAAAACTGATTTTACATCACTTTTTGATAACTCTCCCCCAGAAATTCTATTTCTCCCGTTCTAATGCAATATGTGCCCCGCGTGTGCCTGGACTGAACTAAATATTTACGATATGTTTAGATGAAAACAGAGAATCAATATAAAACAGTTAACACAAGTTATAGGTGGTTTTCAATCTTTTATTCAATGCTTTAATTTCCAGAGTGATATTTCCCTATTTCAAGTTACTGCTATTGTTTGAGTTTACTACTAGTAGTAATTTATTAGGCAATTAACAATTGATTTGTCAATCTAATAACTGTGCAGATATATTAACAAAATAGAATTATTTTATAATGTTCGATCTCACATTAAATACAATACTTTATGTTCTTTTAACTATATTTTGCACAGGATATTTTTCGTATGTTTTTTTTTTTTACTATTTATCCCTGTATTGCAATTGGTTTTTCTTCATATTATTATTTAGAAAACATCAGAATTTTCTGTAGCTTTGTACAATTAGTGAATTAATGAACTAATTAACAAGTAGTTTTTACAAGACTATATAGGTCCCCATGGTGGTGACTAGAAATTCTGTACTGGTTATTTGTGAGCCTGTTCCCTCCGAGTGGCTGAAGGGTCTCCTCTCCCTCCCACCCCCATCCCAAGTTGCTGAAGGGGTTAAAACCCCTTCAGTGACTTACCTGTATCCAGCGCCGATGTCCCTCGGCGCTGGGTCAGGGTCCGCCTACGCTCCTCCCCCGCCAGGGGAGACCTATTGAGCATGTGCGGCCGCCGGCAGGGGAGACCTAGTGCGCGGCAATGCCGCACACGCTTAATAGACCTCCCCATGGGAAAGCATTTTTTACATTTTCTTTTTTTTTTTCAATTGTGTCTGATGCTTATTCTCATCTATGTGTTCATCAAGCTGTTCCTAGAAGGTACATTATTGTAGTTCAAGGGTAGGCACTTCTTTTGAAAGTGTTATGCCAAAATAAAACTTCAAGGTCCTTTGCAGCGCAACCCATATTTTCTTTCAATAACAAGGAACAAGTAAATATTCAGTAAGAGAAGAAAAGAAAACAGCAAGTATAATAGATTCGTGTACGTCAAATTTCATATGTGTGTGTGCGCATGCAGTGTTACTATGTATGCATGCTGGTATTTCAGTGCTAGAAGATCTATGTATGGTGTCAGTATGTGTGTTTGTGTTTCTGTATATACAATGTGTGTACACTGCCTGTAAATTTCCATATCCCTGTGCCAAATATGCCTCAATTTAAAGTTTACACTTCTGTATTTGATCTTTCCTTTGCATCCCAACATCCAATGCAACATACACCATATCTCACCTGAATTAAACCTTTTTATAAGTTACCGTCCACTTACACCCCTCTCCTTTCTTTCTCTGATAGGTTGCTCATCATTCCCTTGTTATCCAGTGTCTTATCTTTATGCACGCACAGAGAAGTAAGAGGTAAGCGATGCTGTTCAGAACTTTTGCTTCATAAAATCTCTGGGGCTGTGGAATGCCTAACTAAATCTAGTCTAGTCTAGCTGCTAGCAAAGTGTGTTCCATGAGCCAGCCATATCATAGCAATATGACCATCTCATCTTCTGCAACTACACTGACTGCACCCCCAAACAATCCATTAAGGAAGTGCAGCAATGTCCCCTTGCAGTGTGCGCCAAGTTAAGTTAGCATTTGATTGTAGAAATACATATTTAAAACTACTAGTAATATTTGTTAACGCTAGTCTACCTCTTTATAGGCAATAGGTCCAGTGTAAAGCCGATATACAAACATAAAAAGTATATAAATGTCTATATGCCGTTTTATTTTTAACAATTTCTACTTTTTAATAATACATTCGTACTTACAATTTATGATTCCCGTGCTATATAATATTTACCATCATGCATATGACCAATCCGATGACTAATGTGCTATCCAATGGGAATATCTAAAACATTGCTGGTTTAACCCCTTCAGGACCGCTGACTGTTCAGGGCCGTCAGTGGTAAAACATGCGTTTGGAAAAAACGGGCTGCGGGAAGCGATCAAAGATCGCTCCCGCCGGTATAACACTGTAACTATCTGCCATACATCCCAGGCAGATAGTAACAGCCAGTTGCGGCGTGTGAGTGATCCGCGATCGCTCTCAATTGGCTGCTGTCAAAGTAGGTGTTACAAACACTCACTTTGACAGTGATCTCTGCCCCTCTCTCCTCTGTAACGTTTTGTGAGGCGAGAGAGACAGAGATTGTAATAGTTTGTTGCAGCAGTGTTCAGTGACCATCAGAAAGTATCAGTATTTTATTTTAAAAAAATCACCTTTTAACCCCTTCCCTGCCAGATCTGTTACAGCAGTGCATTTGTACTGTCTGTAATTTTCTTTTGCCCTTAAAGGGTTAAATTTGTTTTAAAAATCTGTTTCCTTCCTCCAAATCTCCATTAGATTTTTGTGACAGGAGTTAGTTTAGGGATTGCTGTTTAGTCTGTTTTAGGAAAAAAAAAAAGTATAAATTTTTTTTTGTGTTTGTAATTTGTTTTAGTCGTGTTTAAAACATGCAGCGTATGTATAACTTGCAGGAGGCATATGCCTTCTTGGCGTCAGACTCTAACGTCACTGACACTGCGTCAGATTTTGACCCAGGTCAGTTTTCTGACACGTCTAGTCAAGACGACATGTCATCTGTGTGTGAGCCGGCTGAAGAAAGAAGCTGTGCTTCCTCTGCTACGCCGAATGTGGAGGAGGACTGGTTACCTCCACAGTTAGCCGAGCCCAACGTCCCCCCTTTTGGTGCCAATGCAGGCATTAATGTTAATGTGGATGGCTTCTCCCCAATGCAGTATGTAGAACAATTTTTAGGGGATACCATCTGGGAGGAGATTGCTTCCCAGACTAACTTGTATGCTACCCAATTTATTGATAACAATCCAGGTAGCTATACAGTCAGGGAGCATGACTGGCATCCCACAGATGTCCCAGAGCTTAAAAAATTCTGGGCTCTTACAATGCTCATGGGGATTATAAAGAAGCCATCGATTCGCTCATACTGGAGCACCAACCCAATAATGTCTAGTCCAGTATTCTCCCAAACCATGCCTAGAGCCAGATACGAGTTACTGCTGAGATTTTTACATTTCAGTGACAATACCCTCTGTCACCCTAGAGATCACCCCCAATACGATAGGCTTCATAAAATACGCCCACTGCTAGACCATTTTCAGGACAAATTTTCGGATGTTTATACCCCCCAACAAAATTTATCCATAGATGAATCGCTAATGAAATACAAAGGGAGATTAGGGTTCAGACAATACATCCCCTCAAAGCGCTCTAGGTATGGCATAAAACTGTACAAACTGTGCAAGAGCGAAAGTGGATACACGTTTGCCTTTCGTGTATATGAGGGGAAAGATGGTCAACTGGACCCTCCTGGCTGTCCTGACTCCCTGGGGACAAGTGGGAAACTTGTATGGGACCTACTAAACCCCTTGTTTAATAAAGGTTACCACCTTTATGTGGATAATTTTTATAGTAGTGTCCATCTGTTTAAAACACTTTATGGTTTACAGACACTGGCCTGCGGCACTGCCAGAAAAAATGTCCATGATCTCTCATAGAGGCAAAATTAAAAAAAGGCGAATGTAAAGCACTTTGCAAAGCTGAAGTGCTTGCACTAAAATTTAGGGACAGCAAGGATGTCAACATGTTAACCACCATCCATGACGAACGCATGTCAGACGTCTCTGTCCGTGGGCAGAGTAGAGTCCAAACCGGTTTGCATCAGGGCGTATAATAAGTACATGGGGGGTGTTGATTTGGCTGATCAGCTGATGCAGCCATATCTTATTTTACGAAAAACCAAAGCATGGTATAAAAAGATGGCTATCTATCTGATGCAAATAGCAACCCACAACTCATTTTTGCTTTTTAAAAAAAATAAT